GCGGTATTTCCGTTGCCGCAAAGTCCATTCCGATTAGTCGCGGAAAGAAAGTTAGTCTCGCATAAATTCTTAAACAGAGACAGTTTTGATGGCAAATGCTCGTACATTTATACGTCGTACGTCTTGTCACGTTCGCGGCGTTTATCCGCGGTATAACTAGTCGTGTTATATAGTTAAGCTTTAAGAAATATATATAAATACTTAAGTATACTTATGTACACGCTGTCGAAACGACATCGATACTATGAGCCTCTCAGAGGCTACCACGTATCATACACACATAATATCCACATATACATATACACATGGAATAAACACGATACCTATAATTTAGAAAATAAAAGATAAGGTGCAGAAGAGAATATCTCATTGTATAGAATTTGTTCTTGCATTCTCTTTTGTCGATTGTCATGGAATCTTCTCAATGTCCTTTAGCTCCTCTATCGTCGCGACAGCCATAGGTGCCTTCGATATATTATCTAAGACACTGTCTCGCCTACTCTGGACCTCATCGTTCCACCGTTGTATCTTGGTCGTGCCGAATAAAGCGAACATCAAAGCGCCCACGATATATATGGCGGCCGACAGAAAGAACACGTTGCGCCATTGCAGGATATCTTTCTAAATAGAAGAGAAAAATAAAAGTAAATTGGAAGTCTTTTTAAGAGAAGAAGAAATGAGAAGTCTTTCTAAATAGAAGAGATAAACGATAAATTCAAGCGTATTCATAAGCGCGGCAGACATTAGCTACATGCTATTACTTGCACTTTTAAATTTTAGATTATACTTAAATTCAATCATTGAGTCGCGTTATTATTCGATAATTAGGATATTTTTTTAATTGATTCATTTTTCAGTTAAATTACAGATATAACTGGCATTATCTCATATGTCTCATTAAAATTATAATTGATATTTATTGATTATTTTATTTTTTATATTTTTTTTTACTTAGACGTTGAAAAGGAAATAACACGAGTATTACGAGCGAATATTGCGACGGATATTGCACGTACCGTGTTCGGGGCGATCCATCCGGCGACGATGGGCGCAAGGAGGCTGCAGATGTTAGCGGCGGCGTTCGTGAATCCCATGAGCGTGCCGGCGAAGTTCGGGCTGAGATCCATGTGATTGACGTTGTAACCGCAGTAAGAGGCAATATTGGTGGAGACTGCGATAACCAGGATCGTCTCGGCTAAGGCCGGCTGGTCGCTATTCACGTAACCCAGTCCGATCAGCGCGAGCGCCGGTACCACCTGGCTGAACGTGTTGCAGATCTTCCTGGATGCTTCCGTGGTCACGATGTTCCGCTTGATACAGAGGTCAGACACGTAGCTGATCGGGAAGCTGGAGATCCATGCTGTCAGATAAGGCAGCGCGGTCCACAAGCCGTTCTGCAATCATCACATCGGGCGATTCAACTAGCGAATAATGCGGCATTGAAGTCGTCGCGACGTCCACACTGATTCACCGGTCAAAGACTCAAATCGAGCAATGCGCGAGCGCGTGAATGTTAATCGCTTCTCCACCGTGACCTCATCTCACCATACATACTGAACTATTAATTAATATTCCAATCGCGCACGCGACCGCGGATCAAAGAGCGACCTGCCATGTCGCGATTTCGAGTCGAGACACGCGCACGAAACGTTCGATCGTCGTCGTCGTTCAGCTCATCTCAAGGTATCCAAAATTTCGTACAAGCGCGAGTCAACAGAGGACGATTAGGCGAGTCGGAATTCTGCCTATGTTCGGTAATATTCACCTCTTTAATATCGAAATTCATGATCGAAGTCATGTAGGACGGGATCTCAGTCAACAACATCCAGAATCCCCAGTTCTGAGCGCACTGCGTAACCAATAGCGCCCAGACCGGCACACTCGTCAGTATCGATATCCATGGAGTGGGCGGTTTCTGAAAGGATAAGATCATGTTAAGACAAATGTGTTAAGGTGATTGAACATTGTCTTAAGACATTAATAATATATTCGTATTTAATATTTCTAAAAGAGTCTTTGAAATCTTGCTAAAAGATATTTTTTATGCCCTCCCAATTTGTAATATTATTTAATGGGTATTCAGTCATTGAGTCGCCGTATTATTTGATGATTAGGACATTTTTTAATTGATTCATTTTTCAGTTAAATTACAGATATAACTGGTATTATCTAATATATCTTATTAAAATTATAATTGATATTTATTGATTATTTTATTTTCTATTATATTTCTTTTTAATCACTAACAGACCAAAGTTTTGTATAAACATTAGTTTTGTCGTCAGTAATTCCATCAATTATTTATTAATAAAAATATAAAATATTGATCGTGCTTTCTTATTAGTTCACTCATTGATACATTTACTTCACAGATAAATTTAATTCCGCGATTGATATCTCTTTTCCTTAGAAAAGATTTCAGTTGTCGGGAAGAAGAATGATTTTTAAATTTATGGGATGATTTTTAAATTTATATGAGAGAGAGAGAGCATTTTATCTTGTTTCCATATCAAAGTGTTAAGTTTTTTTCTTTCGTGAATAGCGTTAATTAATAAGATGATCGTCACCTCGGTGATCTCGGTTACTCCCAGACTAATTTCGATGTATTCCTTCTCGTCCAGAGGTATGCTGGGATGTTCGGAGGGCGAGTCTTTACCGATCAAGTAGAAGGCGACGCCGCAGAGAATGCAAATGCTGCCCCAGACGTAGAAGCAACTGGGCCAACCGATAGGCGACGCCGAAAGATAACCAGAACTCAGTAAGGATATTACGTTGCCGATCCAGCCCCCGGAATAGACAAACATTCCTGATAGAAAATACAAAGAACACTTCGAAATGTAGAATTCTTCCACGTCCCGTGACCATCGTGTCGCGCGATTAAATGGAATCGTCAAGGAATTCTCATTTCTACGTACTCAACGTGCTTAATCAAGTCGACATTGTCCGACTGCGATAAGGATTTTTCGTGCAATCGACCGCGCTCCTCGACGTGCCTGACGATTAAATTACGCTTTCGCAAGGTATGGTTGGCGCGTGCACAAATGCTGTCATTTCGAACGACATTATATCAGTTTAGTAACTCGCGACTAATTATAGACCGAATGTGAACGCGCCGAGCATTGTCAATGCACCCGATTATACACTGGAGGAACACGCATACGTATGTAGATTATCTCGGAGTAGCTGACCTCCGCGACTTTCGAAACATCCGAGGTCTCCGCCGCGAGACCTCCGACGCACTCAGTACTTCGAAAAGACTCGTGGCCTTCGACACAGTTGTGGATTTTCCCCATGTATTCGAAGCATTTCAAATACGCGTGTTCAGCACGTCGTTAGCTATCTGTACAAGTGCGAGAGAGAAAAGTAGACACTCACCGAGTCTGCCACGTTCGTCGGTCGGCACCCATCTGGACAACAAGGTGTGTATGGTCGGTAGAATAGTACCTTGGGCGAAACCGGCGAATACCCTGGCGGTACAGACCGCCTGCCAACCCCCATAATGAGCGGTTACGGGGACCACGATCGTCGTCAAGCCACAAACGATCAGCGCCAACGCGAACAATTTGCTGGCACTCCACTGCCGGGCGATCATACTACCGGGAATTTGCGTGCAGATGTAGCCCCAGAAGAAGGAGCTAAGGATCAGCCGCTTCTCCGACTCTTCCCAGGTGAACTCCTTCGGAGAAAAAGAGAGCAATTGATAGCATTTATTTTATGCTCCAGGATAAATCCTTGTCGAACAATTAGGAGAAAGTATACGAGATAATCTTATGTGAAGCAACTTTTGAATTTCTCGTCGTTGCAACGGCAATGTTTCTTGCGTGCGAATAAGTCGAAAATGCGGATTTTCTGCGCGCGAGATGGGATTTTCGGGGAAATCGGAAAGTGTCTTTTGACGATTAAGAAGTCTGTAATGTCATCTTCGACATTTTTTAGACTTCTGCTCGTCGTTGTTCTCAATGCTCACCTCGAAATTCGGGTTAGCAGTTTTCGCATTGGTCATTGCCTCCACGGCCACCGACATGGTCACTCTGATCGCGTAGCAGCAGAGGAAACAGAAGCACATGAGCAACACTTGCGTATGTCTGCATCCATACCATGCTGCGAGAATTTGAAACATAATATAATACAGTATAATTTATATATTAATATTAGATCTATTTATATTGCTCTATATATATAGAGCAATATATAGTTGTGTGAAACCATCATAATTTTTCATGATAGTATTTGAAACACAGGAATAATTTCAAAGAGCACTCACACATCACTGATTAGTGATTTTTCTTTCGTTTTTTTCTGAAGTTTTCCGGAAATACGAGAGCAATTTCTTATATCGAAATTCATTTCTTACGCTTTTGCTTTAATATACTCGGAGCAATTCGTAATGCCAGCGATTACATTAACATGAACATCACGTATCAATGCGGAACCGAATACAAATGATGGCATTGCTGTCAAGACCACGCGCATAAGACGTGTTCGGTCTTGCACGTTATTATTTACGCTTGGAATCTATCAACAATCGTTGGTTGCGTCAGAGAGATCGTCAGGGTATGCAAGCGGTCGATAAAATCTCATTAATCGCCTGCCCGATTCCTTTATTAAGGTAGAGAGGCGATCGGCCGGAGAACGCGCAGAACGCGGATTAATAAATGTTAATCGATCATCACGCCTTTATTTACGACACGTGATTTCCCCGAGATCCTCTCTCTCTCTCTCTCGTTTTGAGCGAGTGTGGTTTTAAGAGATGAGAGTGCAATGCACTCTCGAGAGAAGAAGGGAAGAAAGCGATGAGATTTTCAAGGAAAATAGATATTCGCTTAAATGTTAAGAAGAAAGATATGAAACATTGATTTTTCCTCTATTTCTCGTTTATCGCCTTCAATTTACAACGATAACATCTCTATGACGTTTTTTATCATTTGTTAAAGCTTGATTTGTTCTAAATGACAAAAATCTAAAGTGTTCAATACGATAAGGTGTGTTCGCATTTCACAATTCAAATCATGATGAAGTAAATAATACACAAATATATATGCGGAATGTTGATACTTTTCCCTGTGTCATTCAAGCATTGCGATAACACATCGATAACATTCAAGTACTAACGCCAATGTGTCAGCACTTACAGCACATTGACATAATTCAAGTTTGCGCGTCCCTAAACACGAGGTCTTATCTTTAATTAAAACGCAGACATCAATTAATAATGACAGAATTTTTCTTTCTCTTCTCTTATCTTCCCTCATACTATTTTTATATTTTATAGAATTTCTCAGAAGAGGGAGGCGAAGTTTTTTAAGTATCATCGTTGCAGATTGCGACATCGCGAGTCAGTGATAGCACTTTCTTGACTAAAGACATATTTAACATATTTTATATTGTATATGTGAAGTAATTCCATTTTACTATATATACATATATATATATATAAATCGGGAGGAGTTTATAAGTTGATTAGATGCGATTATCGATAAGTCATCGTTAAAGTTCTTTATCACGGATTCCGTCTAGCAGATTTATTCGCGCGAAACGTGTTCGACTTTTTTCCCGCGAGAAGAAATATTTCTAGTATTAATGAATAGATCGCTTCTCTCACTAACAATACCTTTCGGTCTATTAGGTGGGACCTTCATCCTCTCCGAGAGCGAGATGACCGAGACCCTTTTCTTCCGGAAAGACGATGCCATTCTTCTTGTCAACTTCTTGACGTAGTGATGTCCGTCGCGAATAATAAGAACGACTACGATTCGCTGATCGCACCCACGTAGCTTTATACTCCATCACCGAAATCAGGCGCTCCCACTCTCTTGCGCTTAAACGTACGCTTAAACACTGGTAAAGCACGTTGTCGCATTATCGTTCCATACGTTGGAATCACTGTACGCCGGCCATAGCGTAAGTAATCAGTGAAATTAATTATACAGTTAATTATACAGTTACGCTACATATGTCATCGGGCTGCCTTTTCCTTAATTTATACACAAAGAGAATGTTATAGTTCTTTTTTTATAAATTCTTTTTAATTCTATTAGCTTTTTATTACTAGTTTTTACTAATCCAGGAATAGATTGTTAGTAAAATCCATTTCACTAAGAAACATGGTAATTTAGAAAATGAATGAATAGAATGTTAAAAATATAGCAAGTGTTTTTAACAGCACACTTTAATTCCTAAAGAATGATCTTTTTTCATTAAATTCTTAAATGTACAAGCAGTTGTTTAATGAATTAATGAAATTAATTTGTAGATATTTTAAGATAGCAAATTCCTAAGAAATAGCAAATATTTTACGAGACAATTATCTTAAATTCAAATAGAGACAACCTTGTATCATTCTTTTGTTCGATTTTACGATTTATAATAATCAGCAGCAACACGATAATCGCAATTTTCTTTTGTCCTACTAAGATAATGTGTTTAGTGTCGAGTATGATTCAAACACAGTGGTCAATGTTTGCATTTTGTCAGATAAAGAGTAATCAAAGTGAATAACTTTACCGAGAAAGCACATCTCGTAATGCATTATTATTATTATATCAATCGACGCATTCACATCAGAAAGACATGCTTGTAATTAAAGGGACAAATGAATCGAAGTGATACATTACGAAAGTTGAACACCGAGAAGAGTGCAACGAATATTTTCTCCCTCTACGCATAACGCGTTTTAATCTTACTCACTTCATAATGGAATTTATTTCATTAGGGACTATTATTATATACTCTATAAAATAATAATGAACTATGTAAGTTTCCCTCACTTTTATTTTTACTGCCAGGAGATAAGGAAGAATTTGGAAGTATATCAGTTAAACAAATAAGATTAAGTAAACGAATTGGAAGTGATTTATTAATTTAACTGGAATAATTTGTTATTCCATTGAATTATTTAACAATATAACATATTGAAAAGAAATTAGCAAGTTCCATTCGCGCTAATGTTGCAGTGGATGGCCATTAAGATCAAAGGATCTTAATAGTAAAAAAATAATATCTTAATAGTAAAGTACATAACAAAGCACTCACCCTATATTGACACATATTTGTCTTATAATAAAATATTTTTATAATCACTCAAAAAAAGAAAAGAATACCGTACAATAGGTCTCTTACGACTGAAAAATTTTACGATCTTCTGAAAAAATATATCATCGAAGAGCAATCTCTTCTTTCTTTTGTGTATGTGATCGCTCTATCCTCGACTATATATCTCACTTATCTATCTAATGTCCGTTTTTACCATCTTTGGTTAATTTAACCGGCTGGTTATTCTAATGGATTGACCAGTCAATTCCATTGCATCTGTCAATTCTGACTAACGAGAAATGCGATTGGTCAATTCCATTGGAATAACCGACCGGTTAAGTTAACCAAAGTTGGTAGAAACGAGCATAAGTCACAAATATATGCGACCTCCGATATATCGCGTATACATATTAAATGCATATGGCAGTGTACAGAACCGGCCTAGATAGAAAATAAAAGTTCGTTCTTGGTGTAGGCAATCGTTGCCTGCTTTGCTCAAAGGTCAACGCTTTGTGACGGCGTTGACGAACGAACGAAAGGAATGAACGGCGAACACCGGTTAACGTTAAACTAAAAAGTCATTACACAGAGCAATATGTACATGTATACAACCGTGTCGTTGAGGGCGACAATAAATAGTAGCGGCTCCGCAGTCTTCATCCGGACTCCGGCGCCTTAGGAAATTTGTTATTAACATTAAAATCATTAAAATAATTAAAATATAATTAATAATTAAAATAAGTTTCTCAAGTCTGCATCTCGATTACATCGTCTTTTCTTATCCGTTGCTGCTGCCAGGCCTTGACTTTCTCAGGCTCGTTCCACCATTGCACCTCACCTGCGCCAAAGATCACGAACACCAAATTGCTTAAGAAGTAAATCGCCGCCGACACGTAGAACACGATGTTCCACTGGCTCACGTTGGTCTGAAAAAAAGAAACGAGCGATATCTCGCTAAGAATTTCCGGGGAAAAAAGGTCCATATATAATCATATAAAAATATATATATGATTACATATAATTATATATGATTTTTTCCCGCCGTATATGTGACTTTACATATGGCCATATCTAATTATATATGTCCATACATAAAACAAATAGTGTTGAATGAAAAAAGGAAAACATAATTTGATGAAAATTAAACGTCAACATCATGGGTTGTCACAAACATAAGCATGCACTTCTCTTGTATCTTCTCATAACAAAATACTTTTCAATATGGATATATATAATTATATATGATCATATATGATTATATATGAACAAAATCCATATGTAAACTTTTTTCTTCTCGGATTTTTTCAAGAATTCGCTTCTCTCGTGAGAGAGTAGTTTTATTTTGGGACAAGAAATGAAAGTAAAAAAGTGCTTTGTACATTCGACTCGTCTGTTCGCGAGGAGATCGTCTTCTTACGTCTTACGTTTTATCTAACGTGTGTGTTTCAATAGATTCAGTACCTCATCGCTGATGATGGTCTGTTCGGTGACGATTGGCGCGACTATAGCGACCACGGAGCCTACGGTATTGGTGATGGATATCATGTTACCGGCGTAGTTCGGGCTGAGATCGATATGGTTAACTTGGAAGCCGCAGAGAGAACCAGCGTTCAGACCTACTGCGATGATGAGGAGTATGAGAGCGTAGACAGAATTATCTGTGGGTATGGCCGACATGCACATCAAAGCGATAGCTGGGCACCAAAACGCTACCGTGTTGGACACCTTCCTGACCAAGCCTCGCGATACACCCTTCTCCAAGGTGAAATCGGATAGCCAGCTCGCGGGGAAGCTGAGCATCCACATCGCCAGGTACGGTAAGGCGGAATATCCACCGGTCTGTGCGACAAATATCATGTACGATTCAAATATGTTACGAAAAGAAGAAGTAATCAAGATAAGAATTTATATTTTTGCAAAGTAGAGAGTGAAAGAGAGATTTTTAATCTTCTCTAATTTGTCTTGCATTAAGTGATAACTGGCTTACCCCTTCGATGTCAAAGCCCAACACCTTCTTCATGTAGGTGGGCATCTCCGTCAGTAGAGTCCAGTAACCCCAATTTTGGCCACCATGGGCGATGATGAGGGCCCACATGGGCTTTGAAGTCAAGATCTGCCGCCACGGGGTTTGTAGTTTCTAAAAAAGAGACGAAAGATCGTCACGTGAATGTATCGCGACATTTTGAGAGTTAATGCTTACCTGTCCGACTTTATTCTTCTCTAATTTTTCACTGGTCTTCAGACTTTCTTCAATGTACACTCTTTCTTCCTGCGAGATGCTACGATGCTTGGACGGCGAGTCCGCCCCGAGAAGAAAGAAACATATACTCCAGAGGATTCCTAAAGCGCCAAACAAGTAGAAGATGCCCGGCCAACCCGTTGCGGACGCAGCAAGGGCGCCGCAAATCGGCAAAGCGATCACTGTGCCGAATTGGGCACCCGCGTAGGCGAACGTTCCTGAAAAAACCAGACGAGAATCGCTCGTATCAAAAAACGTATGCACATATATCGCCGCGCTTGGCTCTGTGATTGAAAGCAAAGCGAAGTGAACAGTTGTCGTACGTGGAATAATTATCTTTCGGCCGCGTTTTAATCTCGCGCGCGATCACATCGAAACTCGAAAGAGAGAGTGAGTATACTTTACATCAGATATCTAAATTCTCTTGCTTTGTGCAGAATCCACGCGGATCGATCGCCCCTGCCTCAACATCCCGGGTTCGACCCCAACATTTAGCATGGATTCTGAATCTATTCTCACCCAGTCGTGCCCTTTCAGAAGGTGGCGCCCATTTGGAGAGGAGGGTGTGAACGCAAGGTAACAGGCAACCCTGAGTGAAACCCATGCCTACCCTGCAAGTACAGATGGCTACTAGGTTCCACTGGTGAGTGGCGAACGGCGCGATAATGTTGAAGACGCCGGCCAGCAGCATCCCGATACTCAGAAGCATCTGAGCGCTCCAGATACCGGCGATGTAGCCGCTCGGCATTTGCGCCACTGCGTAGCCCCAGAAAAACGAGCTCAGCACCAGCGATTTTTCCTTATTGTCCCAACCGTAGTCCTGGCGGCAGACGTCAATTCGTCAGATTACGTTGCCGTAATCTCCCAAATTCTCAATTTTATCTTGAAAAGCCGCTCGTACAGTTTATTATTTTATTACTATTTTTTATTATTTTATTATAATATACTTGAAGACCGCGTCGAATAGACCAATGGAGTGAAATTATTCGTGTGTACAACAACGGCAATCGCGATCTGGCGAATTGATATCTGTCGATCTTTATATTAACGACCTTGCAAACTCAACAGTAGCCGTTATTCGCACACACGAGATCCGTGCGTTTATTAGTTGCCGGTTTATTAGCAGTCAACAAGAAATCGCGGGAGTGAATGTATCAGCCTTGCTGTTGTTCTTCGGCGATACGCACACGGGATTCGCCGTGAGATTTATTTCGTTATCGCGATTTGTCATAAGCGAGGAGAGCGTTTCATCAATCTGTAGGCCGACCTATGCACTTTACTCGCTCGATTCCGTGTCAGCACGAGGAAAATTTTCTCCCCGTGACACAGATTCCGACGTGGCGGTGGCGATGCCGCGAATCCAGAAATTTGCGGAACACTCCGTGACCAAGAGAATCGACCAGTCGACGACGACGTGTGACTCAACGTGATCTGGTTCCGCTCGATCGATCGAATTTAATAATTCAACAATTTTTGATATTTTTCTTCTATACTGAGTGCCTTAAAGGTCTTCTATGATATACAAAACGTGATAAAGAAGTAATCGGTTTTCTACGTGCGAGATTTCTCTCCGAGCATCGATAATAAATTCGTCGCATTGTCATTGTGTAACATCATACTTGATAAAGATCTGACAATCATTAAAGCATAATCTCAAGTATTTGGCCTCTCTAAATGAACATTCGAACAACTGCATCGATAAATATAATCGAGAGGAATTAAATTAAAGGAGCAAACAACGGACAGGAGATTTCTGACCTCGAAATTTAAATTCGCGGTGCTCGCATTTATCATTGGTATAATGGCCACTGACATCCCGACCCTTTGGCTGTAAGCGAGAGTTACTCCCAGGAACATCAGTAATGTCTGCAGGTGCCGGATTCCGAGACCACCTACGAAATAATCGTTCTGTTATTAAGATGAAAAATTAGTCGCGTCGTTGCGGATGCGTTCCTAATAATTGTTTGTAATCTGTTCACTCTCCCGCATTTCCTCATTCCTGCGGAGAATTTCACAGTCGATTCTGCTTGCGTTCACGATGCGATTGTCGAAACATCCATCGTGTTCATTAGTTTCTCGAGCAAACCTCAGGGTCGGTAGGGACCCGAAAAAAAGGGAGGAAAAGCCGCTTGATCGAGGATCGATGCAGCCGAAGGCGCACCGTTTTCACTCACTACGAATACAAGAATTTATTCAATGCCATCGCGTCAGAGATGACCGTTGTCGATGTCGGAATTAATTTCCACTTAAGTGCTACTACCGACAGTTAAGTAATCGAGTTAAGTAAGCGATAACGAGGATGCTTGAATGCGAAAAAAAGCGGATGCAGCATTGCGACCTTGAAAAATTATATATATATATATATATATAGAGAATCTTATGTCAATATTAAAATTGAATGTTGATTGTGAAAGGTAACAACGACGTGTTCGATGAAAAGTGCATAAAATGAATTGTGAGGAATAAAAATAGCTATAATATAACATTATTAATAATAATAAATTATGACAGTCACATAATCGTCAAGTGAGAGAGAAATAGTTTTTCGTTCTCAGCAAGTCGGCTCGATGTAACTCGATGTAACATAGAAAATGTATATTGCGTTCGAGTAAATGTTATTTGTTTCATGTATTTCACAAATTTATATTTGTTTGCAAATTTATCATAAGTTCATCACGAACATCAAACCTATTCAAATATTTGCTTACTACATAAAACCGAGCCAATATTTTCTTGAAAAGAGTTTTATGATATTATCGTAAAGAGAATAAATCCTTTTATGAGCTCACGTGGATAAAATGAGCTTTCTTAAAATTCGTGATGAATATATTTGAAAATTATATTATCACAAAAACACATTCTTTGCTGAAGATAATCTCTACTTAAAACAAAAGACCGCTTTAGCAGTTAAATTATATATTCTTGTCTTTACGTATATTTAATAAGTGATTATAGCGATAATGAGTATCTATGCTAATTGCACGATAGTGTCAGCGACGAGTATTAATGCAATTTCGGTGTTCGGGAACTTTAAAAATGCGGCCGCAGGCGAACGTAAACAAATCGCTCGTGCGATTCTGCAGATCGTCAATATTTACTCGAGAAGATTGACATTTTAGATAAGACTCGTACAATACACGCCGATTGACTCTCGTCTATTGAGAGTAATCTTCCCAATCGACAATAAGCACACTGATTTGTATCAAGAAAATTATTTAACGCACAACGAAATAGCGACCTATCCTTTCTTATCACAAATTTAATTTTACGTGAGTGTTTACAAAATTTGTTGGTAATTCGTTTAACTTCACCGGTACAAAGTAATTTGCTAATTGTCGTGTAATCGTGATATGTATAATCCCAGACAGCACAATGTCCAAAATTGGGATATAAGATATTTTTAAGAAATCTTTAAGACAACTTTTAAGTTTAAAAGACGTTTTATGTCCCGACGTCTTAAAGACGACTTAAAGACGTCATAAAGACGTCTTATGTCCTAGTTTTAGATACGTATGCTATCTGGGATTCCAATATCAATGATAACTAATATGCATTAATAGCAGCATAAAGAACGTGCAAATAATATGGAAAAGAAACAAAATTATTCTTTTTGGTTTCTTGAGTGTAAGAAGATTTTGAGTCGATTTTTCTCTCATATAGATAAAACATGTCACACAAAAGAATACATACAAGTAAATATTATTTATTTTAAATATTTCATAATCCATATAGCACAAATCTTTAAAAGACTTCTTAAAAAGTTCCAAAAGAGTTCCCAAGTCCTCCAGAACACTTTTGGAGTTCTTTAAGAAGTCTTTTAGAGATTTGTGCTATATGGGTAAATTTACATATTCGTAATCTGTAATCTAAGCTCATCATAAGCATCAAATTGATTCAAAGGACATTCCAAATCTTAGCAAAAGTTTAGCATTTCAATGAAGAATATTAAATGAAAACAAAAGTTCAGTTTGCTTACTATATAGAGTTGAACCAACTCCTTTTTTCAATTAGATTTTGACATATTTTTGTGAAGAAGACGAGTTGTTCTTCCGAGTACGTGGTAATAAGCTTTTCTCAAATTTGTGATAAGTGTGATAATCTTAAGATTATAATAAAAAAAACATCCTTTGTTGAAGATAATTATTACCTAAAAGAAGGAGAGAGAAAGTAAACTGAATAACCACTTTTTTCAGGAGTGGAATAATATTTATCTCTGTATACATTTATCAAAAGTTTAGCCACTGGAAAATCTCCCGCTCGAGAGAAACGACGTCTCGAAAATTTCCGTCATTATAAGTCCAACTAGCATGTTCTCTCAGTGCCATTTTAATCGAAATATAAAAAGACGCGATACTGCATCGTACAATACCAGTCTAATAATTGCACAAAAAAAGAGGGGAAGGCAAACGTTATCAGCATGAGTAAGCACTATGGCGTAATTGTTAGAAATGTGCTCCGTACAACGTACAAAAAAAGAAAAATATGTATACGTTGTCGCCGATTAACTAGATTAGATTTCTAATGAAACAGATAACATCTTGTGATACGCTTTTTCGTAATCCGGATCGAAGCCGAGAAGATACTTGCAGCAGATAAGCGCGATAAAGATAAAACCGCAACGATTCCTAATCGTGATTTATAGAATGACGCAAAACAAAAAGTCTCGTGATAAATTCGTGATCGATCATGCAATTCTTGCTTATCGATCACGAAAAAGCGAACAACATGTACGACACGCGTTTCGTTCGTTTGTTCATTTGTTGTGGTCAGGGCATGGCTATCTAAGTGAAGCCACTCGTCAAAGTTAATTGTTCGTGATAAAACGGCCGAATGTCTCGAGGCGGAAAGCTGTTTCGGAGCTGTTTAATCGTTAGAAACATAGCGGCTCGGTATTTCAATGACAAAATCCGGTGTCCCCGTTAGAACTAAATTATTGCGTGATCCATCGCGTACAATTCGGCCGTAAAGTGTATGTCTAAGGCCCGATCTAGAATAGATGGAGTAAGGAGTAGGAGTAAGAAATAAGCAGTAAGTAAACAGACCAATCACAATCGATTATTTTTGAAACGTGAGAATGGAATTGGTCAATTTGGTTACTGCTTATTTCTTACTTCTACTCCTTATTCCATCTATTGTAGATCGGGCTTAACAGTTAATAGTTGTCACTTGAAACTTGGCTCATGTGAGACATTCAGATTTTCCTTCAGAGTTGGATCCAAGTTTTTCAGTTGAACGATGATACGTGTCGTTATTATCCATATCGCAATTCAACTAGAGAACTCTCACCAAACTTTGAATTTAGATGCATCTCACTTGAGATAAGTTTCGAGTGATAATTATTTAATTTGTATCCAAAAGGCGGAGATCCATATCTTGCGTAATCTGCGAGATAGCAGATTGCTAAACGGCCGACGAGATCGTCGCGCTGACGAGATCGAAACACGCGCGATGTTACTTCCCGGGTGGAATTGCGCATCACGATGGGAAGAAAGTTGCGCGACTTTTCGACAGCGCGCGTTGCCGAAGGTCATCTCGCGATTGCGAATACACATATTCGCGAACTGATTGTCCGTCACGACATAATTCCGACAAGACTCGGCGATAAGCCGCTACAGATAGCTCTCCACTTCGATCAGTCTTAGAATGCACTTTCGTGAAGTCTGTTGTGTGAGGAAACAAAAAGACAACGAGCCTTCAGGTGCGCCTTCTTTTTCCTTTATCGCTTTGGCACTGACGACTTTATGTAAATGCATATTCATGAATCGCTCGTTGCGACCGTCTCGGTCAGGTGCTTTGATAACATAGAAAAATAAATATAATGATGCACTTCCGATCTCGATCTGAGCGACCATGAGTACATAATAAAGATCGGACATTGTCGCGCTAAATCGTGATCTCAAGTCCTGTCACCACGCGAAAGAGCAGAGAAGGTGTAAACATCTGATTGGAGAGTAGACCGACACATCTATCTTGGTCTCTCTCTCTCTCTCTTGAACTAATTGATCCTTCAAGTCTTATCTTCCTGCGCAAAGATCCAACAATTATCCACGATCACTGACTGTTCTCTTACAAGTGCTTTCGGCCGGATATTCCGCCGGGGTCGATGTCTTCCGCGACGCTTTGCCGCTGGATTCGACGTCGTCGTCCCTCTTGCCGATGCCAATTGTCATTTTGCCGTTTCGTTAAACCGCGCACCGTTAAAATCCTAATCTTAACCGCTGCGCTGATATTTATACGGCGTGCCCCTTCCTTTTACTCCGTCGATTTCCCTCTCTCTCTCTCTTTTTGTATTCTCCGGTCCGTTGCAGATGATTTATCCAATAGATCGATGCATTCATTAAATCACTCGATAAGTGCCATCGACAAGTCGCCATCAGTGGGCCCTCCTCGGGAAAAACTCCGGCGTTTCCGGATACCTGTGGAAGAACCGAGGCCATTTCCTGGCGGCGAACGTTGCGAGCCAGCCTTGAGACACTTTTCCGACTTTTCGAGCGTTCCACTTGCTGGTCATTCATCCGCGATATCCCGAACACGCGTGTCGGAAACCGACATAAAATTCTCGCGATCGAAGCCCATTTTTTCCTCCTCTCGCGATCAGCTTTCGTGCGAAAACGCTGAGAGACGCGACGGAGAGAAGGGAAGAAAGGAGAAAGAACGTCAAGAAAAAGGTACATCGAATCCCAAAATTAACGAAGTATTCCCGTTTTTAGCGTTAAAGATAATGTAAAGTCGCGGGAGGGACGAAGCAAAAGCTGTATGCTGCGATTGCATATCACCTGCGAATGTGTAGGTGACTATAATAGATATGGATTAATTGATATAAAACTAAGGCTAAAAAATGATTTATGATTATGATATTACACATGTCACCTTCGTTTATTGCGCGACTTCGCGTGTCAATGCAAAATGTAAAATAGTGACGTTTATGTGACGCGAGGAAAACTAATTGGCGCGTATATCTATGTAAGGCGCGTTCTTCTCTCTCGTACTCATTCCGTATTTTTTCTGATCTTCACGCAACACAGCCGGTGACCATTAAACAGTTTCTAATCTAAGATATTTACACCTCTCCTTTTTCCGTTTTCTACTACGCTATTATAAATCTTTTATTACGCTAAAATTGTTCTGTTGGACGATAAAAAATTAACACCAAGTTCTGACAGCGAACTTCGTGATTGTCTTTCGCAAACGAATCTCCACGTTCGTCTATCACTTCGCTCGCTTCTTCTTCGCCGATGGCTGCTGAACATTCCCCTGCTCTTGACTAGATCTGCTACTGCTGCTGAGTCTGCGGGAGCGTCGTAGCATTTTCGGTGGCGCCGTGTACTCGTCTGAATGCGGAACGCTATAACACAATTACGTCATAATCAAATTTGTGATCATTTGAGATCATTTGTGATCAACGTCAATAAACATGGTCGCGAGACTCACGAGGACATGCGATAACATTACTACGAGTTTTTTGCTGCAAATTCATGGAATCATAACGTTGTGCTCGTGGAAATATATGCGTGCTTGTATTCTCTGTGTGATTTTTGCTTGATTAAATCTATTTACTTTAATCCAACTCTACTTAATCGATGTGCGATGCGCTAATTAGCATTTGAATGAAAATTGAAAATTACTTTGAAAACATGCAAATAAGGCAATTATAAAATTATCACGCAAACAGCAAAAGATTCATCTGGATACCCACTTCAAATGCTCGATTCTCGTTTCCTCGCGATCTTGTGTCTCCTTCGCGTTATTGTTGGTAGTTACGAGTGGTGTTTTCTCGCATGCGATCTTCTTCTGTGAGGCTGGCGGGCAACTGCGTTGCGTTAACGTGGACTTTTGCGTGCCAGTCTGGGTCGCGTAGGCGTTTTTCGAGGTGAGCTGCATAGGGGGCGCGATACCATTTTTCTCGTAAAACTTGCCCACGTTCAGAGTCACGCAGTGGGAACAATTGTGCGTCTTGTAGATGCCCACCAGGTAATCTGCCAATTCGAACATGTTTGACCGTAGGGAAATCACGATGAATTGAGTGTTTTTCGTGCGTTCTTTGATGTAATTGCCGATGATCGAGACGTTCTTGAAGTCGAGCGCCGCGTCGATCTCGTCCATGAAGTATAACGGCGAGGGTTTGTAACAATGCAAAGCGAATACCAACGCGAGCGAGCTCAGGGTCTTCTCGCCGCCGCTTAAGTTTTCGATATTCTTCCATGACTTCTTGGGCGGACGCACACTAAGGACAACACCCTCGCTGAACGGGTCCAGCGAGTCAATTAGCTCCAGTTCCGCGTCGCCGCCTAACGTCATCATCTGGTACATCTCTTTCAACTTCATGGAGATCAAGTTGAAGCCATGCAAGAATTCCTGCGCTCTGTGTCGTCTAGCTGTCTCGTAGATATCGCGTATTCGGTTGCGTGATGTGGTCACCTCTTCGAGATCAGCTGTACGGCTTATGTAGAGCGAATCCTTTTCATAGTAGTCCATGATTACGTTCATGTTAGGTACCTGAGGGGGTAATTTTTTCTTTGTTTTCGTTATATTCCGCAATATCGTTTCGGTGTCTAACTTAATGATTTCTTCTTCCGTTAGTTCTCCTAATGTCAACTGCTCTTTCTCATAGGCAATCGTGTGTGGCTTCAAATTGGCTATCCTTCGATTAAACTCGGGAATCACTTGCTGAAGCTCCTTGAGCAGCTTCCTGCTATCTTGGAGTTTCTGGTCCAAGTCGATCTTCGTCGCCTTCATCTTGTCCTCTTTCGACTGTAAAACATTTAATTCCTCTTTTAACGAAGACATGGCCTTATCGCGCTCCACTAACGCCTCGTTAAGCTCTTCCAGCTTCTTTAATATATCTCTAGCCTGTTCCTCCAGCGTGGACTTCTCCTGTTGAATGTCTCTTAATCGTTGCTCACAGGTGCGTACGTCGTTCTCCAGTCTCTCTATATGTTTCTCCGTCTTTTTAACATCCCGCTCGGCAGTCTTAATGGCTACCTGCAAGCGACAAATCTCCGCCTTTGTCTTTTCTATCGATTTATTCAGCTTGGTGATCTTCGTCTGCTGATCGCGTACCCGATTGCCCGAGATTTCGTTTATCTTCTGATTTATGCACTTTACCTCCTTCTCCACCGAAGTCGAGCTCTGTTCGACTTCGTGCATGTTCGACTTAGCTTTCTGCACAGTTTCTTCCATCTGCGCAACCTTTTTAGGATCTGATATCGCTTCAGCGGCTTTCTTCTCCTGCTGCTTCAGCTGCGTTTGCAGAGTTGGCTCCTGCTCCCTCAATGTCTGCAACTCTATACTAAATTTTCTTTGATCCACCTGCATGTCTTTCAGCCCTGTCGTCAGTACGTGGATCTGGTTTTCCAGCGTTTGCTGCCAAACACGCGCCTCATTGCACGTCTTGAAAACGGTATCCAACTCCAACTGCAGTTGTTCGATGTCTTTGTTTGACGGCTCGTTCCTCACAACTTTCTGACCCATTCGACCACGCAGTACTGTCCGCCCGCCGCCGCTCATTGTACCCGAGAGCTCAACCAGCTCGCCTTTCAGCGTTACCACGCGGTAACGTGTGCTACCGTATGCAATACGTGTAGCTTGGTCCAGATCTTGTGCTACCAAAGTATCCTGTAGACCATAGTAAAACGCCGGCAACACGCGCTCATCCTCTACCCGTATTAGATCAAACAGCCGGGGAACGTTCTCTGGTGTGTTAATCTTGCGACTGCATCTAGACAGAAATCGTTGCTGTTTGTCCAACGGTATAAACGTGGCGCGTCCTATGTCGTGCTCACGCAAATGCTTGACACACGCCTGTGCTGTGGTCATCGTGTCTACGACAATATTGTCTAGCGGACCACACGCTGTCGATACCGCGACATCATACTTGGCATCGATAGCACCCAAGTCGCCCTAGATAAAGAAAAAAGATAAATGAAGGGTAAAAGTATATTAAAACACGTATATTAAATCGAATAGACTATGAAACAAAATTGAAATATAATATACATAATACAATAGCTTAAAACAATTATACGGTTCTAAACTTTTAAGCAATTTTGTCACGATAGTCAGTAATATGGCCTGTTGCGCTTTATTGAAGCTCAGATCTCAATATTTACTAACCAGTCTCCCAAATATTCCAGGTAACCTTCCTTCTCGTTTTTCCCGCATCAAAGAGTCCAAGACGCGGTTTTGTGACCTGCTAGTTTGCATAGCGGACCGCTGCTCCTCGTAAGTGATTCGTAACTTCCTTAACTGAGCGGTCATTTCTACCTCTTGTGTCTTTGCCTCGTTCATCTCACTCTGTGCTTGTCTTAGACTGCGCTCAGTGGCTGGAATTTTTGTTTTGAACAGTGCCAGCTGTTTCTGCCGCTCCGCAATAGTGCTCGTGTTCGTCTTAATGATCTCGCGGAGCGAGTTTAATGTCTCTTTTTCCACTTTCTCCACTGATACGTACAATTCTAGTTCAGACTGCGCAATGTCGTACGTCGCCTTCGCCTGATCTACGTTCTTCCGCAACGATATCAACTTGTTCTCCAACTTTGATCGATCAGTTAACAGCGGTTTCGTCTTCTCTTTCAGTTCCGCCATCAAAGTCGACAATGATGCTTCTTCTTTCTCCTTATTAGCCCCGTAAGTATTGGCTAGACGCTCGTACTCTTGGATATCTTTTGTATTCTTCTCCGGCACCCTCAGTAATTCTTCTAATTTACCCTTCTCCTACGATTATTGTTAAAAATGTTCGTGATTTTATCTAAATAATTACATATATTTTTACAGTAAACACAACACTAACACCTCTTCTATCTGTTTATAAATCTATCGAAGTAGTCACAGTAAAAAATTACCGTTTTGATAGACGTCATGTGCGATTTTCGTCGTTTGTTCGTTTCGACTAGCTCAGCATGCAGAGACTCATCCTTCTTGCGCACATTGTCAAACGTCGCTGTGGCTTCATCCTTCTGATGCTGCAAGTTGTCCCAATCTTTACTTTTATTCTTAATAACTTTGATCTTCTCCTCCTTCTCTTTGCGAATGTTCTTCAAATCGTCTGCTAGCTCAGCTACCTCCTTATCCAACATTTCATTCTTTGCCTCATGCTCTGTAAATTCCTTCTTCGCTTGGTATCTGAAAGAAATGTCTATGATTATCTATATGAAATATTATCCATATAAAATATCTATATAAAACATCTATATAAAATATATAACTATTTATGATATATATTCTACAAATCATGATCACAAAACTGTATTGTATCGTTTATCAAAGAACTAGATCACCTTCGGCAATGGAAGAGCTGATGCTGCAAGCTGATTATATCGTTTTCAGTTTTCAGGTACTGTACTGCTTTTTGCATAGGCTCTTCTAGAACCTGCTTCTCCTTTTGTACAATTCTGAGACGATGTAACTTTTCCACTCTAAGTTCGGTCAATGCCTCGACCTTTTCCGTTAATTTTTCTAATGGCTCCTTATAACGAAAAGTGCCGATTATGTCTTCCAAGAATTCCAGCATCCCTGTTTCATGCTCGTTTTGTCCTTTAGGTTTCATCATTGCGATCTGTTCAACTTCGCCCTGTCAGAAATGTTTCATATAAGATATAAGATTTCAATAGTTCAGTAGTGAGCTACTCAATTGAGTTAATTTCATGTGTCAATATAGTTTTACCTGCAAAATCAAGAACCGATTATGATCCAAGTCAACTCCGTAAGATCGCAGAAGCTTGGCAATCTCCTTAAATTGCACCTTCTTTTCGTTAAGCTCATAATATGATGAATTATCTTTAAATGCTCTTCTGGATATAACAAATTCGCTATCTGGAACAATCTTGTAGTCATCTCCAGGCTTAAACACAGTAAATCAAAATAAATATCAACTATCATTCATTACAAAAGAATAATTACAAAGCAGGTAATTACAAACTATTATCTACCTCGTCAATAATCCTATGAAAGTATATGGATACAGTACAGCTATTTATACTTGTATGTTGACTGGAATTGTGTATTAAAACTGATATCTTCTTTGACCTTATTTTACTGGCACGGTATCCAAATACAAACAGCATCGAGTCTATCACATTACTTTTGCCGCTACCATTAGGACCTACTATAGCAGAGAAGTGCTGAAAGAGAGAAAATCTACCTTGTATACAATACTTATTAATTAATTGTGTACCTTTGACTATACTTATACAAAATACATGCACACAAGTGACACTCATTTTTACCTTGTGAAAAGGTCCAACAATTTGTGTGCCAGCGTAGCTCTTGAAATTCTTGTTAACGATCTTGCTTATCATAAGTCTAGGCCCATTTGTATCCACCTCACAGAAAGTTGTCGGTGGTGGCGGGAAGTATATCTCATCGTCCACTCTCAAGCCGCCCTCTTCGTCCATGTCACACCCCATGTTCTCCAAATTAATCTCCAAATTATTGGTGGACTTTTCTTGCATATCACTAGCCATGTTGAGTAAATCTCCGCCAGAATCGGCGAACTATTAGGATCTTTCAGTAACCGGTCTTAGTTCGCGTCTCAATTTAAGGTTAGCACGCCGATGACATTGTTGGCGGGAATACACTATCCGTATCCAGCTCGACCTAGCGAGTCGATCTATCGTGTAACATGCGAATTATTAGCGCGAGCACAACGGAATTTCGCAAACACACTTCTAATTACACTGAGGTCACAAAAATCATCACATATTCGCAATTTCATGAAACAAATCTCTGTAAAGCATCCGCCGTACTCAGCACACAAAAGTACTCCCACTCTTCGGAGCAATTCAAATCACATTCGAATAACGAATTTTCCAACCAATTAATCTCGAATTTCACGATAATTATAAATGAAATCTCACGTGTAATTGTTGAATTCCAATCGAAATCGTTGTAGAAATCATTGGTACAATTGTCTGTCTCAAATTTTTCTGGTAGTAGTGTCGAATTATTCGCGGAAAATATTAACGATGACGCGCAACGAAAATGAACGATCGCAAAATGGCGGCAAAGTAAATGAACAAGCACAAACTCTTGTTAAGATGGACTTTAATAATATCTGCAGATCTGTAGACTCTCTCTTGATCAATTGATCATTTTGTATTCCTAGTTTTTTTATCTATGTCATTTTTTAAACAATCTCTAATCTTTTCTTATAAAAATAATTAATGAAGTGAAGTTAGATGCATACAAACAAAGTAGAATAGCAAGATGTCGCCGCGAACTGAAATGGTATACGTCTATCTACCTCTTTACCCCTGACTTTAACACCCCCTTTGTCCATATTAATGGTTATGTCCTAATATACAGTTTTAGAGAAGTCGTTTAACATAAGACTCCGTGGCGCAACGGTAGCGCGTCTGACTCCAGATCAGAAGGTTGCGTGTTCAAATCACGTCGGGGTCAAGCGTTTCTTTTTTCTTCTAATTTTTTTTTTCGTCGTGTACATTCCTGCAAGATAGAAATCTAAATAATAAATGCATCTGTTAATTAATTTAATCAAACCCGTTTTATACTCGTTTGCATTTTTGCATTTTAAGTGTATGCTACATATATAAGAAGAGGTAATTGAAGTGCAGCTTGTGTTCCGAATAATGGCTCCTGCACACAGAACGCGGTAATGCTTGCCACGCGGCGGAAGTTCACGCGACAGCCAATCAATATGCTGCTTTCCGTAATAACCTTCTAGCTCTTACGGAAAAACAACATATTGATTGGTTGTCACGCGGACTTCCACCGCGCGGCAAGCATTACCGTGTCCTGTGCGCAGGAGTCATAAAGCCTGATCTACAATATGCTCTTTGCATTTTGTTTCTTGTCTTCTGCCTTTTTCTGGCTTAAAGCTTAAGGTTTGAGTCAGAAAGAGATCAAATATAGAAGCAAGAAGCAAAGAGCATATTGTAGATCAGGTTTAAGGGGTCTGTTTTCTATTGCAGTGCTGAACTGTGCAATAAGTTAGAGTGAGAAAATATATGTGGTTGTCTCACTTTAACTTATTGCACCAGTTTAGTGTCAGCAACAGAACAGACCCAATATGTGTAGTGTGAATTTATAAACTGTATGTAAAAAATAGTAATGATTTTTAACTCACAATATTAATTAAAGAATTGCGTTTTATAAATAATTCAGAATTATATAAGGCCTGTTCTTTGTAGCTGCACTGCTGAACTGGTACAATATATTGAAGTGAGATAAATATACGTTTTCTCACTCTAACTTATTGCACTAGTTCAGCAGTGCAGTTACAAAGAACAGACTTATAGTATATATCTCTCACGTACCACACAAGATTTGAGCAATGGCGTAGGGCCACTTAAGTCAAGGTGCGCTCAGCCAATAATTGAAATTGAATTGAAGTCTGAAGCTGAAGTACACACACAAGATTATTGTATGCTACAAAAGAAGTGAGGTTATATAACACAATATGCAAGTGTAAGTGTATTGAATTTAATATATTTATTTTAATATTTACTTAATATTTATTTTAATATTTGTCTCTGTTTCTCATATATGAAAATAATATATCCTTCTTTTAGAGAAGACAGTTGCTCAGCTTATTTAAGCAATTACGAAGTATACAATCTTTTGCAAAATATAGAATGCAATGAGAAGTCAAACAATTTAGCAACGATTAACTATCTGGCAAGTAAATACCTGGACGATACACCATGCACGAAGCAGAACCCAGAAAAGATCAAAAAGTTCTTACAGGCAATAGAATCCTTCAACTTGACAAAATGCGAGAAGCTTACGCTACTAAACCTTTGTCCTACAACACCACTTGAAATACAATTGGTATATTTTTGAATGTCTTCATAATTTAAGCATGTTAAATATATATTGTGCATAGATTAGTACAAAAAAATTTATATAGATTATTTTTTATACAAATACTTCCATGTTTTTGAGAACAGATTATAGAAGATAGCGAGGACCGGCTATCAGAACAGGAAGTGGAAGCTATATTACAGATAATTGCTAATGTACGAGAAGATGAACAACAAGACAGTGAACAAACTTAATTTCTATAGGTCTTGACATAAGTTATTTATATTTTTCTGTACAATATTTTATTTATATAGTAAACACAAATGGAAATATAATATTAAATACAAGCATGTATGTATGATATAGGCAACCATATTATCTTTTTTGATCACCAAGATCATCTATCGAGTCTTCATCGATCTGAAACAAAAAAAATAGAATTTTCCATTAAAATAAAGTGTTTTTTAATGAAATTTTAAGGTCTGCCGCATAACACCTATTTTTAGATGATTTATAACCTGACTGATCAAATACAATTGTCTAAATAATAGATGTAACTTACTTGTGGCCACTTCTCTGGTATCACTTCGAACAGATCATCCTTGACATCTCCCTGTATGACGATCTCATTATCTCCAGTCACACTAGAGCCACAGGCAAATTTGCTACCAAAGAATTTTGCTGCTACTTTCAAGTCTATGTCTATGGAAAATTTAAAAATTTTAAAAATATATATAGAGTTCAAAAAATCATTATTTTATATTAAGATTTTATTTTGATTTAGAGAGCGCACATTACCGAAAGTACTGAGGCCAGTCACAACAGTGACAGATTTCTTTTTTCCTCTGGGTGCCCTGGAGACAGTTACCAATCGTGGTACATCCTCCTTCTTCTTAGTCTTCAGCATACCTTTACCACCACGCTTCTGTCGCTTTTTCTCATCTTCACCACCTCCAGCTTCTACAGAGCCATCCTCCACAGCTGATCAGAACACAAACCTTGAAGTTAGAAGCTTCGATAATTGTCATGCAGTTTGTCGATTTTTTTATAATTACCTAGTTTTACTTTTTCAAATTCGGTAGGCAGATTTCTCTCCAGCCATTGCTTGCATTTGTCGTACTCAGGATAATACTCGCAGTACTGTAGATTAACAATTACTAAATTTTGTGATCATTGATTGACTTAACGTTTATTATTTTTTTAGAGAATTTACACAGAGCAAAACTTATTATCTTTTTAATAGCAAAATGTTAGAGCAAAGACCAGTTATGGTTAAGCTCCAACTATCAATTACCGTACATCTTTTTGTGCTCACATCTTATTATTATTTCTTGAAGATGATCCTCAATAATAAAATAAAATTTACCTCGATAGGAAGGGAACAATTTCCACAATAAAGGACCTGAATTGGATAACTGATGTTAAGATCTGGTTGTAGTCGAAGATTCGGCTGTTCTTCCGTTGACATTTTTACGGCGTCGCTTAACTTTATTTTGATGAGCGATCTTTATTAAAATGACTATTCTAAAGATTCCTTTTCCAGATTTTCGTATGCAACCGGCGTCAATGATTCTCGTGCGGTGTGAGAGAAACGTGACACTTTTACCTTCCGCAAATAAACACCATGCACCGTTGTTAAGGGCCGGTGGAAAAACTGTGGAGACCTCTTGCGGAGGACCGTGAACTGTCAACTCGTATTTTCGTTTCAAAACGCACAAATAGAGGACCACTTTCTCATTGTAATATTTGTAAAAAAGTTCACGCACGGAGTCAGGTATATTTACAATTTACTCAAAATAAAATTTTAACAAAATAATCTTAATTTCATGAAATCGATTGTGCGCAATAAATTTCGACATTTTATAATAATTAAATGTCAATCAGAAATATTCTTTAAAAAGCAATCGAGAGTATAATATTTACAAGTGCAATATTTTATTTTAAACTTAAGTTGTGTCAGTAATTAAAATGGCATCTAACTAAAATTTTCAATTCCAATTCAAATTTCTTTTAATTCAATCATTCTTATATCATTGAACTTTTAGGAAAGAGAAAAGATAAAAAGATGTGTATAGCAGATCCCATGTTCTAAAGTTTATTCCACTTCCACATATATTCTATGTTTAATTTTTAATCGTATATATAATATTCTAACATTATTAAAATAAATTCGTTAGAATAAGTCGTCATAAATATATATATATATACTTTTCTAATTACAACATCCAGACAAAAGAGGACGATTGTTCAATACAAAAAGTAACAAATTTGTAATCTTCGACTAATATTTGATTTATTGTACAAGTTGTCAGATATACCTTGTGAAATGTTCTCGATTTTCCTTAACAAAGGAAAAGAACATCGTGAAAAAGAATGACAACGACAGATTGAATCTTTAAATTGCAGAAGCTTGTGGATTTTTCATAATAAGGATGACTGATTTGAGAGAAAATGCTAAAGGCAGAGAATAGGATGTAGATATTTTAAAGAATGTCGTCAAAAATATTACAGAAAGAAAAAACCAGACTCAGGCACAATTTATTAGATGAAATTAAGAAATGTATTATAAACAGTAAAGTAATTTATGTTTAAAGCATTGCAATTTGACAATGTATCGAGTAAATTAAAAGGGAAAGAGGGAAAGTTTATAATTAAAACAATTACAAATTTTCTGTAGTAATTAAGTAATTCATTTTTTTCTGACTCAAATTTAAAAACTGTACACCATAAGCAACTGAATTTAACGATTTTGCTTGCGAATCGTTTAAGACTATGTCACGATTTTTCAAATCGACAACTCGCAATCAATAATCGGCATAATCGGCATAAAATCTAACAAACTAATAAATCAAGGAAAATCGTTTGAAAATTTGACAGCCGAAAACTGATAACTCACGACGTCACAATCAATTGGCCATCGAATAGAGAATTCTCAATTTCTTGGAAAAAATTTTGGAGTTCGTAGGAATTCTCTATTCAGCGGCCAACTAATACATCTGATAATCTTGTACAGGTTAAATATTAGTCTCTGATTGCAATATTATTCTTAAATATAAATATACTATTATACGTCACGAATATAAACGCAATAAAAATATGTTAAACGACTCCCTATCTTTGATTAATTAAATTTAAAGCATTTTATTTTGGCACGTTTACGGTCCTCATTAAAATAAGCTTTAACAATCCGACCAAAGGACTCGATTAAAATTGGCAGTTTCCTCGAATAGAAATCTATCTATCACTACGCGTTATTTAGAAGCGGAACTTCCATACTTGATACTATTAATCGCCAAACTCGTCGTGGCGTAATGGCGACCATCGTCGTTAAATCACGTTATGACACGCTGCTGAATTTTCGGATTATACGCATTCGATATAGTATAGCGCCATCGCAGTAAAATATCACGTAAGGGACGAGTTCTACAATTCGACGCTACGACGAACTTACATTGCTATTACATCGCGATACCGAGCGATGTTACAACGATTGTAAAAAAAAGAAGAAAAATTCAACAGTCTGTTGCGGTCCGCGCGAACCTCGCGTCTTTATTTCGTTGCAATTCCACAATTGCAAATTTCACCTACAATTCCGTTTGCAATCTCCGTCCCGCACGATCTCCGTGTCGCTGTCATAGTCGCTTCGTTTTAAGTGTCGAAAGCACGAGAGAACGTAGCTAAAAAGAGCAGACCCATTACCGATCAAAGCGCAATTTCGTAATTCCTAGATTTCGTAATTTTTCTCGCACTGGAAATTCATTCCTAGCTACAGCCCGTGTGCATCGTGTTCTCCTGCGTGGCCGCGATGCGCTCGTAGAAGAGCATGTATGGGTTGGTGAACAACACTTGCGTCAGGGACACGCTTTCAACAACGATGTCGGACGTGTACAGCCACATATTCTCCTTGTGGGCGCGTCTATAGCAGACGAAGTGACCGCTATCTACCGGGCCGCGATGCTCAATCACCGCGCACAACTGGTATTTGTATTTGTTTGGCGTCATCGTAAAGCCGTTCATTATATCTCTTGTGTCACCCTGCAAACAATGATTTCATTGAATCATGCCCATTTCTACCAACTTTAGTTGACTTAACTGGCTGGTTATTCCAACGGAGTTGCTCAATCGTATCTGTTAATTCTGATAAAGAGAAGTGCGATTGGTCAGTTGGAATAACCAGCCGATTAAGTTAACCAAAGTTAAATAGTAGAAATGGGCACTGATTAGATTACGTGTATATCTCGCTATGTTCCTCTGTAGAGCTTTTAGAGAGAATTTACATTTTGACAAAAAAAGCGAGTCTGATTGACTTCTGCCTTTCTGTTTTCTGCCAAGGTGTAAATTCTCATGTACGCATTTGATCAACTTGTTATGCATAAACTATATTTATCAAATTCGCTTACATATGCCTGCGCGTTTTTCCTCTTTTGTTCCTTGTAAGTATAAGGATCCAATACAAGTGTTTGTGGAATAATAACTTGATCATCTCTCTTAGTCGATCCCAAAGGGCTCCATGTGGTCCTCGAAATATGTAAGCACAAACATTTGGGAAGTTTTCCAAGACGGAGAGTCTTGGTGGCTTCACAGCGCGTTGAGCATCGATCACATTCCACGTCGCTCACCACTTCGCTGTCCACGAAGCGCGACAGCAGATCTTCCAAGGTATACTGCTGCACGAATCGCGAGGTGGGTGGTGGTAACGGTAATAATAAACTCTCGAACTTGTCGTAACGTACTGAAGACTGCAAAGGAAATATATTAAAGTTCGTGAGGATCGATAGCATATTACAGATATTCCAATATGTAGTTGGAATATATATATATTAAAAAAAAAAAAAAAGAAAACCTTACTTCAGGTGGCGGTACCTTCTTCATGCAGGTGCTACATTGTAACTGGCTAGTAATTAGTCCTGAGAACGGATTTGTTTCCATGGATGGGGTGTTAGAATATGGAATGGTGAACAAATTCTGCCATGACCACATGGAATTTATATACTCGCAGTTGTTTCTTGACAACAGCTCTGATGACCTGGCGACGATCATGCCAGGTTTGGTTTTACTCAAGGCATTTTTCGACTCATATCCTTGGTGCAACACATCAGACAAACAGCCGTTCTAAAATTATAAGATTAATTTTTCTTTTTTAAGTAAATTTTAAAACCAAAGATCCTTTAAAAAAAGCATTTGAGTTTTTATTGTAAATAATATTTATTTGCAATATTTATTTATTATAAATGACAAAATTTATTTATTTATTTGTAAATTTAATAATTTTTATCCATGTACTTATTACATGAAGTATTCTTGGCTACAAAATAAGAAAATTAATACTATTACATAAAAAATCAATGATTTTTAATATGTCGTACCTTATTCACAGGCTGCATTTCATCCTCTAATGCATTGAGAATTACATGAAATAGTTCATGTGCATCTTGATGACCAGGTCCAAAGTTCCAAGATTTACCAAGGGAAGAGATTATTTCAGTGGGTGTTACATTGCCATAGAAATCTTCATCAAAACCATTGATCTCTGTCAATAACATAGATTGGAAAATATAGAAATTTCAAATATTTGAGTCAGCTAGAATGATATTTCTAAACAATTTAAAAAAAATATACAAAGTGGAAACTAAATGTTAGAGACTTTAAAAAAATAATTATATTACAAAAATACAAGTTTAGTAAATTCAAAGAAGTATATTTAGAGTAAGTTGAAGTATATTTCTTATTAAGTGCTAAATAAAATAAAATAATTAAGTACATTTATGTTCTACATAGATCTTTTTCACATACACATACATACATACAAAATTAAAATATTTAAGATATTAAATTAAAACCAACATACTGTTGAGGATAGAGAATAGAGTATTGGTAAAGTTCCTATTCTTTTTCTCCCGTTGTTTTTCAAGCCACTGGATGAATTGAGGACAAGAACCCAATGCTTGCAGAAGAGAATTCAAAAAGCATGTGTATCCTAAATTGTTGATTCCAATAATTTTCCCTAGAAATACATATAATTAGAAACAAAATTACAAATGAATACTGTTATGTATGTTTCATAATATATAGGTTATCTCTATTATCTTGTTCTCTCTTTTTTTCTCTTTCATAATTCTTTTCACTTTATTAATTTTTGCAGATCAGTATTTCTATACACACTTTAATATAATGTTAACAATCTTTTTCTCTTTTTAAACATGTTCACTGATGTTCTTACTTTTTTCACGAGGATTCAACTTGTTTTGAATAACGTCAGCCCGTACGAAAGATTTAATAGATAGATGGTTTTCATTCGACGTTTCATTCGACGGCAATCTAACGTTTCCCAGAATATCACCTCTTTTCCTTGGTTTGGGCGATGGACCCCACAGAACAAACAGACCGACGAAAAAGGCGAAGCCCACACCGGCGGCGAACATCGTGAACTTCTCCATGGCGTCTAGAGACCAGTTGTTTTTGCTGTAATGGCTTATCAGTTCCTCAGATCTGAAATGTGTTGTGCGCTTCAGCTCATCCAACTCTATTCTAATGGATCTCCCTGGATGATCCATTCGTGATTCCGTGCGCGAACTCAGCGACCGTCAAATTAGCGCGGATTATATTGACAAGAGAGATGAGTCTCAAATTGCAAAACAACCGTCGTGATATCTGCTGGAAGTACAACAAAGCCGATCATTGCGACATTCATTTAAGTGACGCAATACACAATCGATTTACACATATATGATATGAATTGAGAAAGGTAGATGTTAGACAAACGTAACTGATGTACCAATCTATGGTATGTAACCTTAGAACTCATATGTTAAAATCATGGCCATAGATAGGATAACAAGGTTACGAATGTGTCCGACATTCGTGCGATAGATATTTATTTAAGGTTGTATTTCAAGTACGATCTGTTGTTGTTTAATAATTTTGGAGCCAGGTCCATTAACAAAATACGACTGATAGATCTTCTTCAATAAAATCAAATAATATTCCAGAGGTATCAATTATACAAATATCCAAACTTTATATTCTTCTTTCTGTTCTTCTGATGAAGAGAGCTATCTTCTTGAAGGCAGCCACGTTATTACTGTGGCGCGTTCGAAAACTTCACCCAGGTGCTTCTCCTCTCTCTTTATCTCACTCCTGTATCTTTCTCACTCCAATGCAGCGAATGCACCCGGATAGGGTTTTCGAACGCACGCCTGAATGTAAGGTGTTTTTTCGTTTCGTAACCACGATACCGTTTGGTTGGTTGGTTGGTTTGGTCCACTTAACGCTCGCAACGCCTTGAGTAACAAAGATAGAATGACGCTCGCGGTGTTGTGAGCGTTAAGTGGACCAAAGTAACCAACCAAACGCTACCGTAGTTACGAAACGAAAAAACGCCTCTAGTTAAGTATAATCTGATCTTTACGCTCTAAGTACAATGCCAGACAACAGGCAATAGAAATAGGGAATAGGAATTCGAATTATGTCCAATTCTTCACCTCCGGTTAACTTTATCTGTCGGATAAATGTCAACCGTGATTGGTTAATCTTGCCAACTATAAATATGATTGGTCAATTCCAATAGAATAACTGACAGATAAATTTAACCGGAGGTGAAGAAATTTCCTTCCTTCCTTCCTTCAATATTTGGCTAGAGGCGTATCAGTGACTCATGCCCCAACGCCATTACTCAGTTAGGTGAAGAAATCTGACATTAATCAATTATTTTTAATGTAGGATTCACACCGCGTCCGATGTCCGACGTAAGACGTCCGATATCCAATAAAAGAATAGCTTTCCAATGGAGAATTGAATTCTATATTAGAAAGTTGTTCTCCTATTGGATATCGGACGTTGTACGTCGGACATCGGACGCGATGTGAATCCTGCATATGGCCCATATTCTGAATCTTCTTTTATCGATAAAAGTACCTTAAATATAGCTTTTCAGCCAATCAGATGGTTCCTAAGCTTCTTTTAGAGGCACTTTTATAGATAAAAGAGGATTCAGAATATGGGCCTATACCTTTATCAACACTACAGGTCTGTTCTTTTGCTCTGCACTGCTGCATTGGTGCAATAAGTTAGAGTGAGACAAATATATATTTGTCTCACTCTAACTTATTGCACCAGTGCAGCAGTGCAGAGCGAAAGAACAGACCATATACCTCGAATAACATAGTGCGACACCGTCAGATGGCGCCAGGTAGCTCGTTAACTAGTTTACAGTTTACCAGTGTGCTCTGTTTCTCTCGATCCCGGAGGGAGTTGCGATTTTCGTATGCGATTTTGCGCGTTCTGGTGCTTTTGCGAAGATCCAGCGGCGAGCAGAGAGGTCTAATTCGCAAGTGGAAAAAAGGGATTAATCGATAAATTACGTTGTCGTCGCCGTCGACAACGACGTCGCGCACGACGACGACCGTGGGAAAACTCGAAAATGTTCCCACGCTCCTGCTGCGCGAGTGTGCGTGGCACGTGCGTGTGAAATTCCACAGTGAGGCTGCGTGGAAGGGTGAGAGTGTGGGATCTTGAGGGTGGTGGAGGAGGGGGAGTGGAAGAGGAGAATGAGCGCCCAAGGGCAGGAGCATGGGCACGCGGTTGTTGTGTGGGAGTGGGAGAACCGTCACGGACGGTGGCGACCGTACAGTCCCGCTGTGTCGCAACATCTTGAGAGGGCTCATTGCAAGAAACTCACCCGCGTCTTCCTCCACGACGCAGATCCCACCCTCGACAGGTTCGTAAAGTAGCACAGATCCGTTCTCTTTGCACTTTCTATGTATAAGACACCAAGTACAAGCTATGATAAGATAGCAGTAAGATTGTACAGAATTGAAAAAAATATCAACAAGTTATTGTCACATTGTCAGATATTATATAAATCTCAAGACCAAGACGCAATGCAGCGACGATGGCGACGAAATATACAATGTGAGGAGAAAGTTTTACCTGCCAGGCTCACCAGCTGGCAAAGGTGCCAAATGGGAATGGGCAGGTGATTCGGATGACTGGCACACTTATGATATGGAAGTGCAATGTCTCATAGAGGAAGCATGGGCAAGAGTAAGTGAAAGGACTGTTGCAAGCTAAGCAATTTTTGTGCAATTTTCTTTTAGTAAGAAACTCTTTTGTATTTCTCTTCTGTCAGGGTGATAAGACCATTGATGTATCCAAGACCTACTTGGGTTTTCCTTATATCATCAATTTCTGCAATCTGACCCAAGTGAGATGTTGCACTGGCTATGTAAGGCCCATAAGACGCATACAGCAGGCACCTTATCCTTTGGTCAAGGTTGCTCTGGAGGAATTGCAAATCACTTCTGGTGGTAGGAGATCCACATCGGTCACTGTTAAGAATTCAACTGTCAAAGTTACGCACAAAAAATCATCCAATGGAAGCACAAAGAAGGGTAACAAGAAGGTAATATAAATAACCAAGCTTGAGATACACTTAGTCAAAGTAACTTTTGTTTCCATTGCTCACTACCAAATTTGTTAGGGCAAAAATGGAGAGAATGGCCCGACGAACATCGCACGCGTTATCTTGAGCAACTTTAACATCTTTGGCAGTAAGCATGGCATCGAAAATAATAATCCGGTAGCGAATGTGGAGTCTGGTCAGAAGAGGAAAACCTGGGATGCTGTCTTGGATGTGGATTCCAGCAGCACCAAGAGTGGCCGCAGGCCGAGTGTGGACACCGTGTCGACATATCTGAGTCACGAGAATCCGGTGGATTTGTTGGACAGCAGCGTGGGAAGTGACGACGCGTTCAAGGATTCTGTTCTTGGTACGTTCAGAGCAGTAGACGGAATCATCTGTACTGTTGAGGCGATTTTTGAGGGCTGCATCCGCTTTTTACAACAAAATCTTACATTTTTTAATTCATATATTTCTAGATTCTAACGCTTACATTTCTCTTCCCTGCGTCCTTAGATATCGAATGTCAATTTTACCTTTTTAAAATATTCGTAGGCGTGGATGTCGCGACGGATGTGATATCTCAGTATGTGAAAGTGGTCGAGAGCGACGGTTCCGATTCGTGTCCGGTGTGCTTGGGCGCTCCCGAGCCGCTGACAGTGGAGCTGACCCGATGCAGGCATAGACTGCACTTGGCGTGCTTGAACGCGATGCTCAGCTGTCAGCAGCCCCCTATGTATATACAGTGCCCGGTCTGTCGCATGATCTACGGCGAGAAGAGAGGCAATCAACCGCCGGGGACGATGAACTGGACGCGGATACCACGCGCGTTGCCCGGTTTTCCGAACACCAACACTATACAGATTACTTATGAGTATGTTATCAAGGAGAAAATATTTTTTTCAAAGAGTTTACGAGATTTGGAGAACGAAAACTTAACTAAATTATTTTGATTAATGAACGCCGATGAAACCGATTGCATATTGATTTTAATTCTATGTCAATCACCTTTCAGCATTCCGTCCGGAATTCAGACTAACGAACACCCCAATCCCGGCCAGGCTTACTATGCCGTGGGCTTTCCGCGAGTGTGTTACCTGCCGGATAATAGTCTCGGTCGTCGAGTGTTGAGATTGCTGCAGATTGCGTTTGAGCGCAGGCTGATCTTCACGATCGGCCGATCGGTGACCACTGGCCGCGAGGATGTTGTCACCTGGAACGAGATTCATCATAAGACTGAGTTAGGCCCGTCTACGTCTGGCCACGGTTACCCCGACATGAGTTACCTCGAAAGAACGCTCGCGGAACTGGCGGCGCAAGGTGTGACCGACGGACAGTCGCCGACATATCAACAATTGCATTAGCCACTCGCTCTCCTCATCCTGCATTATTTTCATAATTAACATACAACTGACGATATTACGCAAAAATGAGTTAAACAGATAGTAATTTTTAAAAAAAAGAAACTTGCTCTTTTGATTTTGTAGAGTTCAACTAAATTTTGCGTGATACCGTAATGCGACTGCTCATATTAAATTTGATATTAAGGATTCAGTTAATGTAAACTTGTACCAGATAGGAATGAAAAACAGCACGTGTCTAAACGAATTAGAGATGTATATTTTAATACGATTATTCCGTGCTATGCAAGGAACTGATAGATATATTGCTTCTAGAGCAGATTCTTAGAGTTTTATATATACATATATTTTTTTCTATGCTAGAGTATTTCATCGCGAGATTAAAATCGCGGCAGCAATTGTCAGACAAAAGTATTAATGTTTTATCCTATAAAATATTAATCTTATATATGGAAGGATGTGTATATATATATATATATATATATATATATATATATATATAT